GAAATGAACAACATTGGATGTTGTTTGATTGTGTGGCCTTCGGATTTCTTGATCGGGTGTGGTTTCACTCAAAGTAGGTTAGATCAAATGCTCTAGTCTCGTATCTATTCAGAACATGTTTTGTACTTGGTGTCTTATTTTGTATTATATATTATTGAACCTTATGCAGTCATGTTACTTTCTTAACAAGGAAATGTCAATGCTGAGTCATTCGTCATTACCGATATTACTAATTGGAAATACAAATGTTACTACCTAAATGGTAGTCCCGATTCAAAATACAAAACATGCATCATTGATGACGTTACTACTTCTAAAACTAATTCAAAATACAAAAATATCATACCTTAACGACAATATCAATTCAAGCGACTAAAAACCGAATAAACAAACAACTACCTTCGATCATCTATTTCGAAGCATTCATGGGCATAAATATTTTATGTTATACAAGCACATAGTAGGATAACAAGAATAATGCAACATACAACGAAAAAAACTTCAATTTCTGAAGTTGTTTCTTTAAAGTCATAATTTCAGCCTCTTGATCATTCAATTTCTTCAACAACCCCGGGATAATAGCCTTAGCTCGAGGACACGTAAGAGGATCCTCCCACTGGAAAAAACTGCACCCGGAGCGTGTTCCTCTTTGCATATGTTTCACATGTGATACAATGAGTGTTCGTCTTGTACTATGTCGTCTGCAGTAATGTATTGCAGAAATCCTTATCTTAGATTTGATACAACAATTGAATCTTCTTCTGGAATTATCGACCGTCCATGAAGTGCGCATTACAGACTTCATTTGACAGTTGCATTCCACCTCTCCGGGTGCAAACGATGATGCTCCACCTTCGAACATCAAACAATTTGAAAATAGATAATCGATACACACAAAACAACATTCACTAATCTATAATTTTGACTATCTAACACAAGATCTGTAGAATAATTGCCTATGAAATACGAAATTTTAAAAAATAGAAAAAAGTCACTGGAACTAGTATGATGCTTCTCCATTCTCTACTCGTGCAGCGTCGACAAAAATAATCACGTTTGGTCACAAATGTTTTGAGCTCCATCGGCAAAGGGGGTGGCGGTGAGTAGCGGCGGTGGATGCGATCCGGGAATTATAGATCGATTAGGGGATTTAGGGTTTTTTGGGATCGATTGGGAGGGATGGATCAATCGAGGTGGATTGTGTGTGGTGAATTTGTTGTTTATTTTGATTTGGTCCAATTGGACCAAATCACAAATAATTTATTTGCAATTTGGTCTGATCGGGTCAAATTAAAATTTTAAAAAATTAATTAAATTTTTATTATTTTTTTATTTTTTATTTTTATTTTTCTAAACTCCGCCACGTCACTCGCCGCCGATAGAGCCACATCACCTCACACGTTAGCACCGGCAGGGTACACGTCCACAATAGTAAGTCTACGTAAGCACACTGATTGGCACGTGACATTTTCTGGTGCTGGAGGACAAAAATAAGATGGCGAAGGAGACATTGTCCTACTTTGCAAAAGTGAAATATATGTGTCTAAAAACAATAATTGGACCCACATAATAGGCAATTTTTGCAATTTTCCCTAATATATTTTATAATTTCACAAAAAATTAATATTTAATATAAAATATTACTTTTATTATTACCTACCAAATTCTCTATATCTCACATAAAAGAATATACCTCAAACAAAATATTAAACAAACAAACCCGATAATTTTTTTAATAATAATTATGAAATATCGTAACACCCAAAAATACTAAATCAACAGACTCATTGTTTTAAACCTAAAGTTCATAAATTATCCAAACCCCTAATTTTAATATTTGCTTAAGGTTTAATATTTTAATAAGAAAATTTTAAATTGAAATAATTTTTCATATATATATATATATACATATATGTACACTAGAGTCCTTCATAATGACTTAATGATATTATAAAAAATTAAAATATTTTTTTATTTTATTTTTAATGGTTTTTAAAATAACATAATTATTTAATCGTAATATTTAAAATAAAAAAAATATTAAATATGAAATACTATGATGCTTATATATATAATATATTTTTAAAAAAACACTAATAATCAATCTATTTCTTCAATCTGCATATTTAAGTCAGTTTTTTTACTTAAGATAAAAATAAATAATAGAGTATTTATTTATCACAAAAAAATGATTGTTAATAATAATTTATAAATACAATAATTCATAGGATAATAATAAAAGACAACAAGAAATGTTTAAATATATTCACAGATATTTAGTTAAATAATCTTGTTAGTATATAACTTTAGATCTTGGAGACAGAATTTGTTTAAAATGAGAGCGAGTAAAACCTAAAAATCTCTCACTCAAAATTACAAGGTCATTTATCCTCACAAAAAGTGAAACTATTATTATTTAAATATATATTAAGTAAATTTCAATAAATAAATACTAAGTAAATATAAATATATAAAAAAATTAAAGAGATATAATCAAAATCTAATTTGAATTAATATGTCAATTCGACCTATTTAAGAAAATGTTCCAAATATTTCTTAAAACTCAAACTAAATGATCAATTCAAATCAAATCATCCATTATTTTCTTTATAAAAAGAAGAATATTAATTGAATTTTTTTTACAAAAAAAAAAGCAAAAAAGAAAATATACAAGAATTGAAGAATTAAATAAAAATATTATTTTATGTGTTTTTTCATGATAATACAAAAAAATAAATAAAAAAAAGAACGAATAATAAAACCATCAATTAAAATAAAGAGGATGCCGTGAAGAAAGGCTAATGAAGAGTGAACTTGTGATCATCAGATCATGAATTCAAAGTCTGATAATTTATAATTTTAAAAATTTAATTTATTGGTCAAAAAATTTTAAATTAAAATAATTTATTTATGTAATATGTGAAGACAAACGATAGTGGAGTGGAGAGAAACTTATGAATATTTTAATTGCAAATACTTAAATGATACAAATGAGATGGGTGAATGTCATTTAATAGACCAAGGACAAATGAGATGGGTGAAGGTCATTTTATAGACCAATTACTCCAGAAGACTTTTTTAGAATGTACAAATATCAAAATTATATTTATAACGATTTATTGCACTTTCCAAATAGTTTCAAGATGTGTTACATAAACCTTCCACCAAGTTTGAGTGAGTTCCTTTGTACAAACAAAAATTTTAAGTGTGAGTAAACCACTTTACCATAACCAAAGCTAAGGGGATGTTTGACAAATAGCTTTTTGAAGAGCTTTTAGCTTATTGAACAACTTTTTTTAGCTGTTTGACCAGTCAAAAAGCTAATTTAGATGTTTGGTAAATTAGCTTTTTGGAATAGCTTTTTGGACGCAAAAAGCTAATTTCTGAAAAGCTAACTTACCCAGCGTTTTGAAATAGCTTTTTTCTGAACAAAAAAATAAAATTATTCCTTATATGCCCTTAAAAATTTATTATGCATTTTACACAAATATATATATTTTGATTATATTAGAATATTTTATTATAATATAGTTCTACTTTTATAAATTTAAAATAATTAATTTTTATATAAAAATTATTTTAATTATAAAATATATAAATTTATTGAAATCAACATAAAATATAAAATATAAATATTAATAATTTTTTTATATTAAAATTACATTATATATATTTTATACTAAAAATAAATTAAATTTATTGAAAATTATAAATATAATGAACTAATCGATAACTAACATAATAAATATATACACGAAAAATTTATTATTATATATATTACATCATTTTCAATAGAAAAAACTATTTATAGATTTTAATAAAAATATATTATTTTTTTAAATCTAACTGTAATAAAAATAAATACTTTTATAACACTTTTACAATTTTCAATAACTAATAACAAAAAATTTTAAACATTCTAAACTCAAGAGAACATAATTGAATATATTAGAAACAAAAATAAAATAGAAATGTCCACAATTATCATTTTACGTATAAACAGCTAATATCAAACAGTTGTTTTACCAAATATTTTAATACAAATAGCTAATCAAATCAACTAGTCAAACCAACTAATTGAATCAGCTAACAGCTACCAGTTAATTGAATCAGCTAACAGCTAACAGCTAATTGTCAAACATACTCTAAATCATTAGATCCTCGACTATTTTGTGGGCCCAAAATTAAGGGCTCAATTATATTTAGGTGCTTGAAATTAGGGTTTGGGTACTTACACACTTGTTCAAAAAATTTGTTTGGTGTTGTTTTGTAATTTTAGAGTCTATCTTTTTATGGTAGAGTGCTTTCACATTGAAAGAGCGAAGTCTGTCGACGAAGTAATAGTACGAACGGATATAATATTAATTTCATGTATCAAATTTTTTTATTAATATATATTAATATTAATATTGATGTAATATTTTTAATATAATATATAAAATAAAAATTATGAATTTAATTTAATATTTATAAAATGAAAAATAATAAATAATAGAATTCAAATTGAAAATTCACAAACAAACAAAGCCAATACATCCAACTACTATTAATCAGCCCATGGATAACTTTTATTTAATTTTATATATGTTTTACAATTAATTGTTGCAAAGCCCAACCGCAGTCTATTGAACAAATCTCTAAAAATAACTCCGAGAAAATGACAATGTCCGATCGCAATATTTTTATTATTTCTGTCTCAAATCTACATAATTATTATATTAAAAATTTCATTTTTAGCAGATTTAATTTATTGGTCAAAATCTTGTAAATTTAAAAAATTCATTTATTTAATATGTGAAAGACAAATGATGGTGACTATTGTTTTAATCATTCACCAACATTAAAGATTTTGTCAAACATACTGCCAAAATGCTCTTAACTCACAGCTATTTTGTGGGCCTAAAATTAAGGCTCGAAATTGAAACCCATTTATTTGTGGGCTCAAAATTAAGAGCCCAAATTGTAGGCGCTATTATATTTGGGCACTTGAAATTAGGGTTTGGACGGGTATAAATTTTCTCGAACAATTATTTTGAGTTCCATCTCTCTGCGGCGCCTTCACATCGGGGGAGAACGAAGCCTGTCGATCAAACATGGTATGAATGGCTTCTTCCGAGCTGTATTTTGACATAACGTTTTTTAATTTTTATGCCTTTCTAAATTGCGGTTGGAATTTTTGTAGACATTCAAGAGAAGGAACGGAGGGCGCAACAAGCATGGTCGTGGCCATGTTAAATTCATCCGCTGCTCTAACTGCGGCAAATGCTGTCCCAAGGTAGTTCCTCTTTCGATTGATGTCTGATCTTCGTGAATTTGTTATTTCGATTTATATGTTTACGTTGGATGTGGTAATTGGCTGGAATTGAGCTTCATTGATCAGTTGTTGGTGCCGTTGTTAAGTTCTGGGTTCTGTCTTTTGTGTTTGCTAGGCGAAAAGGGAAGTGCATATGTTAAAATAATTTATTTATTTTTGAATCTTTTGGCCGTTTAAAGTATAGTTTTAATTACAAGCGCTCTAGAAAATTCTTCAAATGAAGAATCAAATTGAAATGAAAGAGAAAGAAGAGGCCGATAGAGGCGCTCTGGTCTGGTCTTGTATATAATGAATGGTATAAAAGGGAAATTCTTATCATCCCAATTGCCAAGTCTATCTATCTATCTAAACATGGCTGATGGCTCTACCTAGCTTAGCTAGTCTTTCTCTCTTACTTTATTATTTCTTTCTCTCTCACACATATATATATATATCTCACATCAGCACATTGCATCATAAAGAAACAGTCATTAATAAACTTTTGTGTTATAAGCTGAAAAGAGTCCCCACCTGTCTGAAATCACACAGATGACACATTGTGGCGGTGGGACGTACATGCACATACATACATACATACATACACATATATGGACTCATTCATGGATTTAATTTCCACCCCCAAATTATAACCCCCCTTTAAGTGATTTACTGCCACCCCCATCGATGCCATCCCACCCCTGCAGAGTGCAGCCTGACTGAATGGTGCCGTGACCTGGAGGTACTCATCCATGGTTAAATACCACTTGATGATGATGGGTTTGTTTTGTTTATGTTTAGATATTAGTAACTTGTGGTTTAGAGCGCTCGGTTATATATATAGTTCACATATAATAAATAATAAATAAGGATTTAGATGTCTGAAATCCTGAATTGATTTCTGTCATGTGGTCAATGTATGTGTTTTTGTATTTTGCTACTTGCAAAGGGAGCTATTAAGGGTTTAAGATTCATTGCATTCATCACATTATACGTTAAAGTTTCTTTTGAGAATAGTAATTGGTTCCAAAAATTCTTGATTGTCTATGCTAGTACTTTCTGAAATGTTATTGTTCAGTTATTCTAGCATCTGAACTTAATATTTAAAAAAAATAAAAATAGCATAGTTGGATTGTTGTTTACCATAACTCTGTTGGATAGGACAAAGCCATCAAGAGGTTTTTGGTGAGAAACATCGTGGAGCAAGCTGCTGTAAGGGATGTCCAGGAAGCATGTGCTTTTGATAGTAAGTTCTTGCTCCATTTGTTTGAGGTTTTCCTCCTGTCTGTGATTGGTAATTATTTCCCGTATGCATATCACAAAGGTGAGAACCAACTATGCTATAATGTGCCATTTTATGCTTAATTCAGCCTATACCCTTCCCAAGTTGTATTTGAAGATGCAGTATTGCGTCTCATGTGCCATTCACTCCAAGGTGGTTCGTGTCCGTTCGCGTACTGACAGGAGGATTCGTGAGCCCCCACAGCGCTTCAGACGCCCAAGGGTTAGTTTTTAATCCTTGTATAATTGTTTTCTTGTAATAGCGCCAATCATATGTTTTTACTTCATTTTTGTCTCTTTTACCTATAGGTAATGTTATATATTTTCCTGTGTATTTGATGATAATCATGCAGTGCCTTACCATTGACTGCTTTGCTAGCTAAGCAAACATGTTTAATCTCTTCATTAAAATCAATTGTTTTTTTAAGTTCTTTCTCAAAACCCCTAAAATGAAACTTGATTACAGTGGATCCTAAATTTTATTTTTTTAGACTAATAGATGCATCTGCAAATACTAAACCTAGCACATGCGACGTAACTTAGTTGATAACTCCTGAATCGACTAGATCAAATATAGTCCCCTCAGTAACTGACTTTTGCTTGAGTGAGGTACTATTCATTTTGTAGCATGAAGTCTGTCCTGGGCTCAGATTTGTAGGCGTTTATTTATTTGCATGTCGTGAGGGGCCATAGTGCAGAAAATTTTCCCTTTAGTATTATACCATTTTCCGAGTTTGGGTTGGGAACGTATCCCTCAAGCTTCTTTCTTGAGTTTCTGTATCTTTTACTACATCAGTGTGTCGTAGTTGATTTATGGCTCTGTTTCTGCATCTACAGGATGACATGCCTCGGCCAGGTCAAGCTCCACGCCCCGGTGGACCTCCTGTTGCTGCACGTGCTTGAATTTATGTAGCAGCTGGCTGGATTTTGATTAAGAAAGCTATTTAGTTTATCATCATCAGACTTGAAACCCTATGATATGTTCTTGATGTGCAAACATGTTTTTGAATTTCAGCATTATGTTCTTGATACTACAATTGTTGCAATGCTGTGGTTTTTTAAAATCTCTATGCAATGTGTCGACTAGTCTAGTATTTATGTTTGGGGGCTGTATTATTACATTGTTTACTTTGAAGCTATTTGTTTGGCCTTCTTAAAGGAAGCATAATTTTGGACATCAATACCTCCCCTCTCCTCTCGATCTCCAGAGGAGGAACAGCAATTGTTTTATCAATTCCTTACAGATTATTGAATTCGCAGTTGGTTGGGGTGATTTATTAATATTTGTTTTATGATAGTAATATATATAATATTAAAAAAATATTACGAATATGTTTAATTATTTTAATAAAATATATAAAATATGAATACTATTTTCTAGATAATAATTTTTTATATATATTATAAATAAATAAAAATGTAAATATTTATGTATATTAATATAAATTAATTTACAAATAAATAAAAAGGTTTGAATATATATATATATATTAAAGCGACAAACAAATAAAATTAAAATATTTCAAATGAATTCTGAAATAGATTAATTTACAAATAAATGAAAAGTTATGAATATATGTATATATAAATATATTTGTAGACATTAAAAATATGTCTAAAATCAATTAAATATTATGTATTTTGGAAGAAAATAAAATTTCAATAAAATAAATATATGGTATTTAATTATGCACACATGTTAATTTTTGTACAATAAATATCGACCATTAATGCAAAAATCTTTTTAAAATGGAAGATATCGTACAAATATTAAATCTTGTCAATAAATGAAGTATATAAATTAATATCTTCCGAAAAAGGACGATAGATATAAAGATCTTGACGAGAAAGGAAGGTGCACAATCAAATTCGTCAAGAATGGAAAAGAGCATCCAATGGAAAATGAAAGATTATAAAATCTTCCTATTGGTCAGTCAAAATGCGCTACGTGTCACCATTGAAAAAGGAAGCCGAAGCCACACATCCCCTATAAATAGGAGCCATGGTCAGTTCATTTGAAATACCGAAGTTGCATCGAGGATTCAAGCAAAAGGGTAAGTCTCTAGACTCTCTCTGTATTGTTCTTCATGTTCTTCGTGTCCTTCGAAGCGTTCTTCGTCGAAAGTCACTAATTTGGATAAATGATCCAACATTGGTTGACGAATCGATGAAGTTAACGTTCTTCGTCGTATGTCCACGCCGGAGGAAGGATCAAAGCTCTCAAAGCCGTCGAGGAATTCGTCAAAGCCAAGGGAAGGTCTTCAAAGTTTCTCTCAAAGCTTCGATGTGTTCATCGCGTTCTTCATAAAAGGCGCAAACTCGGCCCTCTTCGATCCAAAAGTCAAAGGGACACGCCGCCAAAAGCGTTACGGAGCACCAAATCTACCTCCTCAAATATCAAAGTCCGGATCGTCTAAAGAAGACAATAAATCCAAAGACGATGATCAAATCGCCAATACGGAGACCAAAGTCTTCCAAAAGCGGCAAAGCCAAAACAAATGTCAAAGTCGCGGATCGTCCAAAGAAGACAACAAATCCAAAGACGATGATCAAATCGCCAACACGGAGACCAAAGTCCTCCAAAAGCGGCAAAGCCAAATCAAAGATCAAAGCCTTGGATCGTAAAAAAAAAGACATCAAATCCAAAGCTGACAATCAAATCGGCCGCATGGAGACCAAAACCCTCCAAAAGCCGGCAAAGTCAAACTGAAGACCAAACCTCTTCGGATCAAAGAAGCCATCGAAAACCAAGTTGGAAAATAAATCGACCAGGAAGGAGAATCAAATGACCCATTTAGAGAATAGGACCCGCTTTAAATTCAAATCAAATATAATTTGTACAAATTTTGTGTTTATTAAAAATAACACAATTTTTTGTCTACAGATTTTTTGCACGCCCAGTGGGATCTCTCTACCTTTCATCTCTCTTTTCGACGAACTTTCAACAATCAATGGCTTCCTACAAGATCAAGACTTCCAACGTAACGTCAAAAGTTGCTGCTCAAGCCGCCATCGCTGCCAAAGAAGTTGGCGCACCCATCGCGTCCAAAACCTTAAGCGCTTCGACAAATACTAGAATGAAAACACGAAGCATGACCAAAAGAGCATTATCGTTATCTGAAGACACTTCTCCAAAAATCACAGAGCAAAGTCCACTCTATGAAGAAGACGACAACTTTAAGAGTACTGACGCACTGTTCACCCCTCAACAAACTGCAAGTCATTCAACCGCATCAAGCTCTGCTTCGGTGATGACTACCAACGCTTCAAATACTGAGGACCCAAAGATTGTGGATCAAAGTCTTCTCTGCGAGGAATATAAAAGCTCCAAAGGTACTTTCATGCCACCTACTCATCGGCCAATTTCAAGTCATTCAACCGCATCAAGCTCTGTTCCGGTGATGACTATCAACGCTTCAAATATAGAAGATCAACTTGCAGCATTGGCCAAAATCGTTGAAGGAATGTCTCAACACATGTAATAACAAGACGCCCTCATTGAAAAACTTCTCACAAAGCTAGAAAAGCCTGAAGAAGCCGGCCATGCAACTGAAAAACAACAATCTTCCCCCGCGGTCCAAAATAAAGCGGCAACATTTGTGGAGCAACGTCATGGCAAAGAAAAGGTGGCGGAATTAAATCCATTTCAAGGATCATCCAACTCCTTCATCCATATATCCCAACTTGACAAATACATCAAGGGAGCAATCAAAAGAGAATTCGAAGGAAGTTCAAGGCCGACGCACACTGACGCCAAGCCTTACACTACAAGAATTGACGTCCTCAAAATGCCAACGGGCTATCAACCTCCAAAGTTTCAACAATTTGACGGCAAAGGCAACCCAAAGCAACATATAGCGCACTTTGTCGAGACATGCAACGATGCTGGAACATATGGAGACCTCCTAGTCAAACAATTTGTGCAGTCACTAAACGGCAACGCCTTCGACTGGTACATCGACTTAGAGGCTGGTTCCATCGACAATTGGGAACAACTAAAGTACGAGTTCTTGAATCGGTTCTACAGCACAAAGAGAACCGTCATCATGACTGAACTCACCAACAGCCGCCAATGGAAAGATGAACCAGTAATTGACTACATCAACCGCTGGAGAAGTCTAAGTCTCAACTGCAAAGACCGTATGTCCGAGGCTTCCGGCATAGAAATGTGCATTCAAGGGATGCAATGGGGCTTGAAATACATCCTACAAGGGATCCGACTCCATACTTTTGAAGAACTCGCCACTCGCGCTCATGATATGGAATTGAGCATGATGTCTAGTGGAATGTATGGACCGCCTACTGAAGATTTCTCAGATGACGAGAAATACAACACTTCAAACAGTGGGGGCAATCATACCTACAACACTCCTGGAAATAAGGATAAACTTTCTGCAATCTCCTGGGAATGAGGATAAACTTTCTAACAAGACTGCTTAACACGAGAATAAACTGTTTAACAAAAACAAACAAATTCAATTTGTTTTAAACTACGTTATGACTTGATTCCTTCACCGGATACGTAGGCAACTTGGAATATAACTCCGAGTACAGTCAATTATGCCAAAAAAAAAGTCCAAAAAAATCGGGCTTAAAAAAAAATCAATTGGACCAAAAAAAAATCTCGTCCAAAAAAAAAAGGAAAAAATAAAAAACCCTTTGAAAAAAATATTGGCTAAAAAAAAAAAATCAAAAAATGATAGCCATAAAAAAAAAATCAGTCAAAAAATAAATTGACTTATGTTTTGAGACTCATTCACGCCTTAAACGCTTTGCGTCGGCTTAAAAGAGTCTCGAGGGGGCATTTTGTAGACACTAAAAATATATGTCTAAAATCAATTAAATATCATGTATTTTGGAAGAAAATAAAATTCCAATAAAATAAATATATGGTATTTAATTATACACACAAGTTAATGTTTGTACAATAAATATCAACCATTAATACAAAAATCTGCTTAAAATGGAAGATATCGTATAAATATTATGTGCATAAATAGAGCCATAATAAATTTGGCAGCAAAATAAATTAATCTTGTCAATAAAGGAAGTATATAAATTAATATCTTCCGAAAAAGGACAATGATATAAAGATCTTGGCAAGAAAGGAAGGTGCACAATCAAATCCGTCAAGAATGGAAAAGAGCATCCAATGGAAAATGAAATATTATAAAATCTTCCTATTGGCCAATAAAAATGCGCCACGTGTCACCATTGAAAAAGGAAGCCGAAGCCACCCATCCCCTATAAATAGGAGTCATGGTCAGTTCATTTGAAATACCGAAGTTGCATCGAGGATTCAAGCAAAAGGGTAAGTCTCTAGACTCTCTCTGTATTGCTCTTCATGTTCTTCGTGTCCTTCGAAGCGTTCTTCGTCGAAAGTCACTAATTTGGACAAATAATCCAATATTGGTTGACGAATCGATGAAGTTAACGTTCTTCGTCGTATGTCCAAGCCGGAGGAAGGATCAAAGCTCTCAAAGCCGTCGAGGAATTCGTCAAAGCCAAGGGAAGGTCTTCAAAGTTTCTCTCAAAGCTTCGATGTGTTCATCGTGTTCTTCATAAAAGGCGCAAACTCGGCCCTCTTCGATCCAAAAGTCAAAGGGACACGCCGCCAAAAGCGTTACGGAGCACCAAATCTACCTCCTCAAATATCAAAGTCCGGATCGTCTAAAGAAGACAACAAATCCAAAGACGATGATCAAATCGCCAATACGGAGACCAAAGTCCTCCAAAAGCGGCAAAGCCAAAACAAATATCAAAGTCGCAGATCGTCCAAAGAAGACAACAAATCCAAAGACGATGATCAAATCGCTAACACGGAGACCAAAGTCCTCCAAAAGCGGCAAAGCCAAATCAAAGATCAAAGCCTCGGATCGTCAAAAAAAGACATCAAATCCAAAGCTGAAAATCAAATCGTCCGCACGGAGACCAAAACCCTCCAAAAGCCGGCAAAGTCAAACTGAAGACCAAACCTCTTCGGATCAAAGAAGCTATCGAAAACCAAGTTGGAAAATAAATCGACCCGGAAGGAGAATTAAAGGACCCATTTAGAGAATAGGACCCACTTTAAATTCAAATCTAATATAATTTGTACAAATTTTGTATTTATTAAAAATAACACAATTTTTTATCTACAATATTCATTTATTGAAAAAAAAATAAAAAATAAAAAAA